AATATTATAATATGGTCAAATTGTGCTTATGACTTACATTTACACACCTAGAGCCTGTAATGTAGTACCATTCACTAATTATATTGTAATTTTATTAATTGTATTGAAATGTTATATTCATTTCATGTTTATTTTCATTCTGTGGTTTCATCTAAGGAATAATATGTTCTCATGTTATATCTTTTCTGTCTCTCTCAGAGCAATACTATATGACAGAAATAGTAGACAGTATAATTTTAAAACATGGGAGATGAGAAAGTGCAGTTTGAAAATGATAGAGGTTTTCCTAACTTCAATTAGATCACAAATATCTAATTTGTTTCAAGTTGTTTCATACTGATCAGGGAAAAAAATGCAGATCCTTTTAACTATATCAATATAGGAAATAACAGGAATTGAAATATTAATAGAATAAGTTATCTCCATATAACTCTTTAAAAATTGGAATTAAAAATAAGTTTTAACAATGGTTTAGCTAAATGCATTAGCAAGGGAAAAGGTATAATATCTTTAGAAAATTAATGATAGATATCAATTTAAAATACCAAATATTATAACTACTCATTCTTTTTGTAATATATTTGAAGAAATATAAATGTGGCAATGATACTGATGGTGAAGATTATGATTATAATAATGCCAGCTAACACACACTAAATGCTGATTATATTTCAAGCATTGTTCCAAGTACTTTACATTTATTATTCCAACTGATAATTTAATGTGAGACAAATAATCTCTCTTCCCCCAATGGCTCTCCTCTCTAGATCTCAGAAGATATCAAATACCGTCTACAGGATGCAACATAAAATCGTTACCTCACTGGATTGGAGGTGCTGTCCTGGATACAGTGGACCGAAATGTCAGCCAAAAGGTACACTTAATATTAATTTCATAATAACAATTAGAAGCATACAAATTCTGAAGTATAAGTAACTGATTCCAGTGAAGAAAAGAATTGCATGTTGCCTTTTGAACCAAGGTAGATTAATATGTAGGCAAACTACTAGGACCATTACCTTTTTAGAGTTTCCTAACTTGGTAGCTATTGTAGCACCCTAAAATCTCATAAGCTATTCTTTAATTTCTCCCCCCGTTTTTATGATGGTTTTATATGACGAGTCAATGGAGATTTGACTAAATATCCTACTTATTCTTAATTATATGCTATTGAGGCATGTCTTATTAAGATATCAGGAATACTAATTTTATAGTTTTAAATAAATTATTATTAGAAGTGACTCAGTGTAGGAACAAGACGACCCTCTAGTTTCATTTCAGTTCAATTATTTGAAATAATGTGCATGTGAATGAAATTCAATATTAAATAATATACAAAGTATGTCATGAATAATTCTCCTTTTTTGTATCTTGAGGGAGCCATTTTTTTCAACTGAGATTTTAAGGATTTTCCGGTGGCAAGGCTGATCAAACACATGGTAACCCACTGTGGCCTAACATCCATGTGACTATTATTTTGCTTTCAGCTTTAAACAGGTTTCTTTTGAAAAATAAGATATGGCATCAGCATACATAGTTTAAATGAATGAATATTATAGGAAAAGCCATTAGCAGTGGTGGGGAGTTCAATCAACAGTGTGAGAGACTGTGATTAAAAATTAATGTTAAGTGTGGAGAAACCATTATGATTCACATTAAGAAAAAGAAAGCATAATACAAAAGCTCTAGGAATCTTGCAGTTTAGTTAGGGATATTATATATGGTTTTGCTAGCCCATACAATGAGAATCTGTAGGCAAATTTCACTCGAATGCTGTTTGTTCTGGGTCTGGCTGAGATTTCAGCGATGTTATAAAAATTCAATACATTTCCAGACTATAAGATGAATATGTACTGCACTTATAATCAAGTAAAATAAACTTTTAAAGAAAATATAATGTGTACTAAAATATTTGGAAAGGAGTTAATTTAGCATATTCTAAAATGATCCAAATTCGATCCTGCTTTTCAAAGGACTTCTGATTTCCATGAAGGGCACAAATACACTCACAATGGTGAAACATATTTGTCTCTAGTTCATATTTGGCAAATGGTTAAAAATTCTGGGCAGTACTTAGAACTATATTTCTGAAGTCCATATTTATTATCTTATAGAAAGAAGGATATCTTGAGATTATTAATTCCTTCATAATAATTTCTCGAAGGTTCAAGTGTTTGTTTGCAGAGTACCTTTATAGAAATGTAGGATATTTATAACATCTACATGAATGTAGACATGTGGCAGGGAACAAAGTTCATAGGTCAAAAAATGTCACGGGCTCAGCTGATGAGGACTGCTGTTTCTTCTTGCTTCATCCTTCTGTACTTACTAATCAATTCTTTGTCATATGGTGAACTACAATATGCATAATAAGGAAAAAAACAGAACTCCATTATTATAAATATACACACAAGAAAGAAAGATTGGTTGACAGTTTTGACTATCTACCAGGTACTGTCATTCCCTTTTTTCAAAGTATTATGTGAAATATATAAATTGAATTCAAGTAGGTTAGCTTTGATTGTTTAATAACACCTTGTATTTTAATTGGAAGCAACCTTTGGATATCTTTTGTACTAGATTTACAAATCATTGTCTTCATGCCAATTGGCAAAAATGTCCCAGAACAGTTCTGATTATGATTTTCTGTCACAATCGTATAATCGAAACTACTCATTATTCAGGTCTCTGCTAATTAAGGTGTTGTTGAAGGGTCTCTTTTTGGTTGGAATCTGCAGTGGGAATAGTGATCTGATGGCAGATAGGCCCATTGTGTCATGTTGTCATACAATCAATTCTGATATAGCTTTGATTCCAAAAGAAACTTTTGTTGCTCCTACGATTCTCTATCCTATTCTTTGCTTTCACTGCAGAACATAAAAACTATTGAATTTTTTACTAGTGCAATTGATGCGCTGGTTGTATCAAGAACTACTGTGTCTCTTTTTCCTTTGAGCCATTCTTCATTATCTCTATCCTGGGGGTTTTTTTGAACATTTTTCCCTTCTGATGCCTACCCAATTACATGCCAAGTCCCCCTCACCCATTTTTTCTGACTTTATGTATGTGCCAACAATGTTGTTTATTCTCACCCAGGAGAGAAAAATTGTCTCCCCATAAGAATAAACAATGTTTCACAATTCTGTCAATGCTGTCTGATATGACAAGCCGCCCCAAATATGGCAAGAACAGTCAGGTTGGCTCATCCAATCTTTAAACATCCTCCAAGACCTCAAGCATTTGGAACGACCTGGTTATGGAGCCACCATGACAACTGCTTCAATGCTAGTCCCTCAAAACACCAAGAGATTATTTTATTCGTAGAAAATGTGTGAAGTAGTACATAAACTTCACAAATCCTGGCTTCCCCAACAAGTTTCCTTTCCACAGGCAAAATCAATTCCACAATGTAAAAATAACGATTTCCTTTTCATTTAGACTATAGTAGGGAGATCTTTTAAATTTACAAGAAGCATTAATAGATGAAGAATAAAATGGGGTTGCTAGCAACTATACTCTCTTTTACTTCTCTCCTCCACTTTCCTACCCCTCTTTCTTTTTCTTTCTCCCTCAGCCCCCATAGATTCATCCCCAGGCTCTTAGGAAGGGATGTAGCGACTTCAAATCTATGAGGCAATTCTGTCTGGTGTCTTGTTCCACAATACGCTGATCCACCATGCATACACTTTACCTGCAACTTAGACAATCAAAATACTGATAGTTATCATTCCAGATCACCTTATTAAAAACATTAGTCGGCCGGGCGCAGTGGCTCACGCCTGTAATCCTAGCACTCTGGGAGGCCAAGGCGGGAGGATCACTCAAGGTCAGGAGTTCAAGACCAGCCTGAGCAAGAGCGAGACCCCGTCTCTACTAAAATTAGAAAGAAATTAATTAGACAACTAAAAATACATATACAGAAAAAATTAGCCGGGCATGGTGGCGCATGCCTGTAGTCCCAGCTACTCAGGAGGCTGAGGCAGAAGGATCGCTCGAACCCAGGAGTTGGAGGTTGCTGTGAGCTAGGCTGACGCCATGGCACTCTAGCCAGGGCAACAGAGCCAGACTCTGTCTCAAAAAAAAAAAAAAAATTAGTCATACTATCAAAAGGAAACCAATTTTTCAAAAAGATAAGTGAACGGAACTTGACTGAGAAAAAAAAGAGTATTAAGTCTAACATCAAAGTAATAGTTTTGACATATTTTTCATTTGTTATGCCTTTTTCTCATTTCATATATATAATATTTCCACATAATGAGGGGTGAATCATCAAAGATTAGAGTGTACAAGAGTTTGGCATTCAGAAAGGGATCTAATTTTGTGACATGGTATTCAACACAGTTTTCAAAAAGTCAGTAGTAACATACCACTTAAACCTATTTTATGAAATTTGCAATAATGCACCTTTCCAGTAGATGTCTCTAAAATATTCTGAAGTAGAACGAGGAAATTGCGATTTGCTTTAATGACACAAAGGGCAGGAATTTAAATCCAAATAGCGTTAGATTATAGAGGATGAAAAACTTCTTTGCAAATCTGTTTTTAAAAATCCAATCTGCTTTATAGTTAGATCCTTTATGCAGAAAAAAAAGTATTTTATAAACTCGTGTTTTATAAAATTGATCACAGACATTATGAATGCTGAAAACATAGGAGCATGCACAGGTATTAAATAAAATAAACTGATCCCTACCATATGGTATGAATATATGACAAATATTTGGTTTTACAAATGCTGTGGAATAATTCAATAAACTATTTAAGAGCTACTGTAACTAATATTTTAAATATGGGGCCTCTCCAGCAAAAGTATTTTAAAATGTATTCCAAATAATATGAATTGAAAATTATAGTACTTAAAAGAGTAATAATTTGTATTTCCTGTATTTTTGCATATCTAGTTTTTCCCAGTGACGGTTAATGATTTCCTCTTTGAGAAACCTCCTATAAGCATCTTGCACAATAAAATTATGATACATTTAGTTAAGGAACACTGTGTACCTTAAGTCTTTGTTGCACTAAACTGCCTACTTCAATTTAACTAATAAATCTCAGTAAATCTTGATATATGCACTGAACATTCACTATGCAAGTATTCGCTTGATATTGCAGGATCAGCTAGAAATCTGTCTTCTCAAGCCATCCAGGAAGGCTTTCTGGTTTTGAGGGGGAGAGCGCAAGCATCCTCATTACTGAGTTGCCATTAATGACTTCCTCCATATGGCTTAAAGGCCTGGAAGGAAAACAAAAAAAACCTTGCAAATAAAACCTGTCTAATTAAAAAAGAAAAAAAAAAAATCTACTAAGGAAGCTGTTGCTTTTGCTCTTGACATTTGCTGACCTTGCTTCTCTAAGTCCTTGATCTGCCAAGGTCAGGATCTTTTTTTCCATTGCAGGGAAAAAAAGGAGTCATTGTGTTGGGAGAAAAGGAAAAAAAAGAGTCCAATTTAGAAAATATTTTTCATTTTTTAAAAATCTGAAGGGCACGAAGATCTTTAAGGTTTATTTGACTTAAATGCCCTTCTGTCTCTGCACCTATCGCTTAGAAGGGACCAAGAAAACAAGACTTAGAAATCTGCACTCTATGGAACAAAGCAAAAGTCTGTGCTTAAGCGAAAGAGAAGATAGATTGCTTAGAAAATCTAGAATCTGTGGCAATCCTTGTAGAGAATGCATCTGGGGAGACGAAATGATTGCTAAATAAAAAACAAAAGAGCAACGATCAACGAGGCTCTTTATCACAGGAAAGTAACTGACTCTACTGTCAGAGATCCTATCATCTCTCTGCTGTGTCTAGTCAAATCCCATGCAGAAAGTTTGGGATGAATGCAAGTATTGAACTCCAGTCCACAAACAGAGCTAGGAAAAGATAACATAAACTATCGAATTTGTAAAACAGGCATTTCAAGTTCTTAATAGCCTCGGCAGGGACTTCATGCAATGAATTCCAGAGCAAAGAGGTTTATGTGACAATAGGACCTCAAGGATCTTTGTGTGACGCTTAATAGTTGTTTCTTTTACTGGGAAGTACAGTTTTCTAGCCTAGTTTCTAAAAACAATTAATTTAACAATAACTACAGCTAAATTAACTAAGAGCATATGGGAAGCTTTATGTGTGTAGAATGATTCTAGTAATTTCAATTTTAAATGATAAAAATTTCTAGCATTATTTGAATCCAGCATTTACATACCAAGTAAAAATAATCCACTGATATTGAAAATTGAGCTGATTTCATTCCAGAAACATAACTTAATTGTTCTACATTCAATTTATTTTTGATATTGAATTGATATTATTTTGATATTATACATGATAAAAGATGGTCCAGACTGATAGTTTCCCAATATCGTTAGATTACCTAGGACTGGGATTCTAATTGATGATTTTTTTTTTTCTAATTGATGATTTTTGTTTTTTCATCAGATTCAAAAAATTCATACTCATGATATCTGAAATAAATACTTTGAAATTTAAACTTTTGTCTCTTTTTCAGTGTGTTTTTAATAATGTATTACATATTTCTCAATTATAATTACGAAATAAACTATGCACTTAGAACAATTAGCATATACTAATAAGTATACTAAAGTAAGTACCAAATGATTCAGAAGTTCTAGCAACTACATAATCATAGGTAATGATAAATTGATCATTGTACTAAAACACTGAAAATTTTGTGACGTTCATGCAGTGCATGACATGGGCCCAACACAATGCTAATTCTGAAAAATAGTTTTCAGATGTTGCCACTAATAGGAATTCCATTCATCATGCATCCTACAAAATAAATCCTTTATTACGTACTCACAGTTAACTTGGAATAAGTTAATATTATAATTTTTATAACTAAGTTTATCAGTTATTACACTTTATAATGATGGTTTTGCCAACAGGTATGGCTTGATTTCAATGTTTTAAAAATTGGTAGACCATCTTGGTACATACTGGCTAAACATAGTCTTGGAGTTGGGGAATATGGAATGTTGCTGGATGGGAGTAAGGAGCAGTAGTCTAGTTTTTGGGTGGAAAGGGGATTTTATTTCTGAGACATTCTAAATTTGTCAGTGGGCTGTAGAACTGATGGCTGCAAAGGCAACCGGAACACTGTTCCTATGCTTCCATGCTCAGCGGTCCCTCTTCAGGGATCTTGTGTTGTAACAATAGAGAATGACAATATCTACATGAGTGAATCTGGAAGCTATGGAAAGCACCTTGCACCCCCACCTGACATCACTTACACTTTGTAATGGTCCACTTCATTATGGAATGATGCAATACTCAAGGTTTTCATTGGTTTGACTTTTAATAAATCATGTCTTGAACTTATGGCCTTGTTATCAACAGGCATGCTGTTTAAAAATCTGTGAAGATTGATTTCTGGATTGCAATTTTAGTATGAAAATGTTGGTATTTTCTGCCTTACAACAATGAATTTACCTGTTAGAATTAGAAAATTTAGCAATTTGTTCTAAATGAGTATTTCTAACCAGGGCCATGCATCGAAATCACCTGTGGAGTTTAAAAAAATACACAAGTGCCCAATTCCCCAGCATAGATCTACTGAATCAGAATCTCTGGTGGAGAAATGGAAAGAACATGGACACTTAATGTTTCAAGGTTTACAGGAACTTGTGATTTCCATCCATGCTGGGAAAACCAGTATCCAAAGGGATGTAAAAAAATAATGTGTCAGAAGTTAATGATAGAAAAGGAAACTTGAATGGTTACTTTGTATACTCCCAAACAATGTACTCTTTGTTTTCGCTTAGTTATATCTTCCTTGTAACAAAGTATCCATCCCCAGCAGTTATGGCGTTGCTTTTAAATGCACCTGCTGGTTTTCTCCCTATGATCTAGCTCAAAAAGTTAATCAGGGAAAGATCGTTTTTCATCTTGTTAAATCCACCTGTTCTTACTGCTATAAATATTTATAAATTTGTATCCTGAACATTCTACCACTGCTCAGAGAAACGGGAAATAGTTAAGGTGGGAAGTTGCTAAGGAGGATTTATCTTGACACTTTATTGCAATGGTTTTCAAACTTCAGTGTGCATTAGAATCACCTGGAGGGCTTGTTAAACCACAGATTGCTGCCCTGTTCCAGAGTTTCTTAAATGTCTTAAGAGTTTAAGTGTTTCTTAAGTTAGTAGGTGTTGGGTGGGGCCCCAGAAGTAGTGCCAAAAAGTCCCAGGTGATGCTGATACTACTGATTCAGATGCCCCAGTTTGAGAACCATGGTTTAACTTGCTAGTTATACTTGGGTAGATTTACATTTAAGCTGCCAGAAAAAAAATGCTATATTATACCAGCTAAGGAGGAACCATGATAAAAAAATTTATGTAATTATTTATTAGACATATTTGTATGAATTAATTTGAACTTAGGCTATAAGAACCTTATTTTAAATTTTTAAAATTATTTTAGAGATGAGGTCTCACTATATTACTCAGGCTGGCCTTGAACTCTTAGCCTCATTCACATGAGGCCTCAGCCTCACGAGTAGCTTATAAACATGCCCAGTTTATAAGAACCTTATTGCTAGAATTTAGCAGAAGTTTAACACTTTTCCCCACCTTCTTCAGCCCATAAGTAGTTATACTTTTCCCCAAGTTTTGATTGTTTTTGTCCACTAAATAAGCCAAAAATTACTCAAGACTTTATATAATATAGTGGAGGAAAAGAAATAAAAAAAAGAAACAGAATCAAAATAAAAATCTTGGACATGAATGGAAATTTAATTTACTGAATGTCCTGAAAAAGAAAGCAAAATTCAGTCTAACAGTAGAGACGAAATCAAATTAAAGTCAAATATATTATACTTTGTGTGGAGTAAGGGAAGCTTCAGCATTATTATCACAGCCACCTATGCCTTAGGGACCACAATTAACATGTGCCAGAGACGCGGTTTCATCGGTTCCTAATTTCACATGGGAAGATGCACAGTCAGACACCAAACACTTGTTTCCTCATGTCTGACATGCAGACTGCAATGGATACATTGTTCATTAGAAGTCTGCAAATTACAGACATATATTATTCAACGTGTTCAATATTTTTAATAAATCTTCCCTCTAAATTATTTTCCTCAGTGAAATACTATTTAGCCATTTAAAATATTACTCAATTCATGGAAAATGGGAAGCCATTCTTTAGCAGAGTCAGTTTATCTTACAAGAATTTCTATATGTCTGAAATTTTACTGAGTTGACGTGTTGATCTCCTCGAAATATGCCTATACTAGTTGACCTTCACTTTTACTCCATTTTGAGACTATGTATTTTTTAAAAACCTGAGAGCAACTCATTTAAGTGGCACTATGAATTAAAGAGCTATATTTTTCAGTAAGAAATGTGTAGGTCTCCCTTATTTCCAAGTAGATCACCAGTTGGAAATTGCCTTGTTAAACAATCAGCCTTTGTGGCCGTCCACTTAAAAAGCTGCTCTAGCTTTTAACACAGTGGATTTTTAAAATCCTTTCAATTATGCAGGCAGTTTACATCTGCTAGTTTACACAGCTCCCCCAAACTAGCATCCATTTTCGCCCAAAGGAGGCCTGAATAATTTTATTCTTCCAAGACAGAATTAGAGTTGTGCACTTCCAACTCCAATTGGTGTCATGTTGCCCTATGGTTGGGGGCGGAGCAGCTTACTCTGCAATCATCCCAGACCATCATGCTTCAGTACACGGGAAAATGAATGTCAGCCACATTACTGCTCGGGACTGGAAAACACAAGGCAGTCCTAGTGCTTAACTCTCTCTCTTCTCTTTCTGCTCCTATCCAGCCCAGGAACAGCAGCAAGTGATACACACCAACCAGGCTGAAAGTCACGCAGCTGTTGGCAGAGGGTCAGCAGAGCAGCAGCAGCAGCAACAGCAGCAGCAGCAAGACTGTGGTGACTCAGGTCATAGTATTGTAATTACTATCATCTCTAACCCAATTGTTGTCAACACTATTTATTACCATTTCCAAACAAGAACTCTCTTAGCTGTCACACGTTTGAGGGTGACACATTAACATACCTCTCAATTCTTATCTATTGGTGCTGGATGGTGGGAGAAATTGTAGATGAGCCGTAGGTTCCCAGGCTGAAAGGACCATGCATTAACATAATTATCGAAGCTCTGTGTGCAACCACAGGAGAGTAACAATGCTGTGATATTAGATTGTAAGGAAATCACAGGTTTCCAAAAGAAAAGCAAATTTTGTCCTCCAAACAGGAGGATCATAGAAGAATGTTGATGTGGAAGGAAAGGCTTGATCATTTGAAGGGAAGTTGGAAGGCTCTCTTTCATTGGTTGATAACAGATCATTGAAGGGTGTTGATCGCTAAGAAATTGTGGCTAAGAACCAACAAGAGCCTCGTGTTGATCCAAAGTTGGCATGTCACATATTTTCTCATATTTCTAACATAAATGCTTTTTCATTTCATTTAGACTTTAGCTCTTAGAAACATAAAGTTGATTACTGCTAAAAACATCTAGTCACTATGTTTGGCATAGAACCAGTCATACAAAACAAGACACTCAAATTCAGAAATGTGACTTACAGGGCTCTCTTTAAGAATGCAGGTGAATATGCCTTAGAAATTGTATTGTAATTTATTAAGGGATTGGAATTCAGTATCTCTATAAAATACTATAAAATTTCTGAATTATTGAAATGTATATGTAAATGGATAGAGAGTATCATTGCTATATAAAGTGATCATAACTAAATTCAAAATCTTTATCTCTTATTAAAGAATACCTCAGTAAACATCAAAATTCTCAGAATATAGTTACAACTACATGCATATATGTATATATATGTACATACACACACACACACACACATGCACACACACACACAGCAGCACATTTTTACTGCTGGGGCATTGGATTTGGAAGCCAAAGATGAGCCATTAGCTGAACAACTTCAAGCAAATTATTTTGGTTTTCTGACCCTCCATTTTTTCATCTATTGAGAGCGTAACAATAATTCTTTGAAATTTTTTTAAAAAAAGACTGAAAATTCTGGGCAAAGTCAAAACATTTCAGAAATCTAAGATATTATAAAACTTTTTTTTTTTTTACAAATTTCTACACTTAAATAGTCTTAACATTCAGTTGCCATTTGCTAAGTGAATATAGTCTATTTTTCAAATATATTGGTGCCAAGATGGTTATTTGAAATACCTTTAAATTTATGAAATTTGAGTGGTTTTAAAGCTGTTTTTAATGGTTCCAGTATTCTCTCCTTCTGCGTGCAGCAGTGATGCAAAAACTGACTGATCAGATGAACTACCAGGCAACAAAACTGACTCTTCTGCAGAAGAAGATTGATAATATCTCTTTGGCTGTGAATGACGTCAGGAGCACTTACTCCTCCCTGGAAGGGAAAATCAGTGAAGACAAAGGCAGAGAATTTCAATCTTTTCTAAAAGGTAAAAATAAAATAAATTACTCATTCAATTAAGACAAAAAGCAAATGATTCGTTTCTCTTTCCTCACATCACTTTGGGATCTTTGCTTCAGATTAGATGGTACGGAAATTTATGACAGATAATTTTTGAATGAGATATTTTTAAATCACTAAACTTCTGAAATAATTTTAATTATCTAAATTTTCTTTACTATAGATTCCAATCATTGACTGAATATTCCATCTGGTTGATTGACATTATGTATCTAGTTATAGTCTAACCTGTATTTATTTCTAGTTAAAATGAGCCATACTTAATTTACTTCCATTGTGGGATCCAGTTCAGGAATAAAGATGAGGTTTATCCATCAAAACCATCACCTTTATAGCTTTGTCTTTGTACCAAATGAATTAAAATCAAGATGCTCAAACAATACATCATACTATTTTTTATAAATTGCTCTTTCACAATAATTTTTATATAAGTCCCTCATGCATGTTAAATACTTTTAAGAACTTGCTTACAAAATAGAGACATGTAGAACCTATATGCATTTTTATCCTACAAAGATCTTTCTTGAATAGGCTATATAGTAGCCAAAACTCATTTGGCAATATCCTATTGTACAGACTTTCCTGTTTAAAATGCGTTGCATTATGTTGCCTGTATTTTACACTATAGTTATTGCCTCTAGTTTGAATTTGAATGGACATATCTTCCATTTATGTGTGCTTCATAGCTAGATACTGTTCATGTAACTATATCTCAAAAACGTATGTTTTGTTATTTTTCCTATTTTCTGTCTTTGTATGCAACAGGTTTCTTTTTCACATGTTTAAATACTCATTTGCTATTCTAAATAGTTCAGAATAGTCCAGTACCCTTTTCCTTTTGTTTTTCTTTTTTCAATGCTACTTTTAGGGCCTACCCCAGTCTTGGCTTATGATTAGTCTTTGCTTTCTAATATTGAAGATACCAGTATGTGTATCATTAATGGCTAATTTTCTCTTCTCTTTTTAGTAAAAATTAACATCATATTATGATAATCAGGTATATCTTGAATTTCTGTTTTCCTTTGCGGTTGAGTTAGTTTTACAATCCTCAAACCTCTCATTATTATTATTTTATTGTTATTATAAATGATGGCTAAATCTTATGAATATTACTTCATTTTTCCTCACTTAAGAATCTCATTAAGGTTTTTCTCTGCAGTCAATTTATTAGTTTTTATAAGCTCAAAACATAGGCTCTGAAACCTAATTACTAGAAACCTAATAACACAGTCATGAGCTAACATCAGGTATTATTTTCTAAGGCACAAAGCCCAGAGCCATTTATTTTCATATAAGACTAAGATTAGACCTAGAATTACAGCTTCCAAGGGTGTATGACTGAAGTCAGAGGAAGTTCCTTCATATCTTTTGTCCATAGAACCTTAGTTTTATAATTCTAGTATATTCTACTATATTCCACAAGTGATTTTTCCTCTCTGACTTCTTATTTAAGGAGACGATTACCTATTATAAGTTATCACAATTTCTAAAATTTCATAAGTAAATATATTCACGTAGTATTTTCATTATTACATGTCATTGTGTTTAGTCTCAATTATTTTTGTCTTTTTAGGGATGTCTAGAGTCTTATTTAAAATCATTTATTATTTCTTTCTTTAGGTCTAAAATCCAAAAGCATTAATGAGCTGGTAAAGGACATAGTAAGAGAACAATTTAAAATTTTTCAAAATGACATGCAAGAGACTGTAGCACAACTCTTCAAGACTGTGTCGAGTCTATCAGAGGACCTTGAAAACACCAGGCAAATAATTCAAAAAGTCAACAAATCTGTGGTTTCAATAGCAGTCCAGCAAAAGTCTGTTTTAATGCAAGAAAATAGGCCCACTTTGACTGATATAGAAAATCTAAGGAATCACATCGTGAATGTAAGGCAAGAAATGACTTTTACATGCGAGAAGCCTATTAAAGAACTGGAAATAAAGCAGTCTCATTTAGAAGGTGCTTTAGAACAGGAACGCTCGAGAAGCGTTCTGTATTATGAGTCCCTCAATAGGACTCTTTCTAAAATGAAAGAAGTACACGAGGAGCTTTTATCAACGGAAAAAGTATCAGAGCAGAAGAACATTCCAGCTGTCGAATCAGTTACCACTAATGTCACTGAGCACGTGGCTACTCTGCATGAGACTATGAAGAAGCAGGGTTTGATGATGCTGCGAATGTTTGACGATTTGCACATCCAAGACAGCAAGATTAATAATCTCACCATTGCTTTGGAAATGGAGAAAGAAACGGTCAGGGGTGAATGTGAAGTCATGTTATCTAAGTGCAGAAGTGATTTTAAGTTTCAACTCAAGGACACAGAAGAGAATGTACAGGTGTTAAACCAGACGTTAGCTGAGATCCTCTTTCCGATGGACGATAAGATGGATAAAATGAATGAGCAACTAAATGATTTGACTTATGATATGGAGATCCTTCAACCGTTGCTTGAGCAGGGAGCCTCACTTCAACAGACCATGACACATCAGCAACCAAAGGAAGCAGTGGTTACAAGGAAAAAACTAGAAAATCTGACTACTGCCGTCAATAGTCTGAATTTTCTTATTAAAGAACTTACAAAAAGACACAACTTACTTAGAAATGAAGTACAGAGTCGTGGTGATGTCTTAGAAAGACGTATCAATGAATACGCCTTAGAAATGGAAGATGGCCTGAATAAGACAATGACTATTATAAATAATGCTATTGATTTCATTCAAGATAACTACGTGCTTAAAGAGACTTTAAGTACCATTAAGTATAATCTCGAGGCCCGTCATAAATGTACCCCAGAAATGGAAACTGTTTTGACATTTATTTCTCAATTCCAACGTTTAAATGATTCTATTCAGATTTTGGTCAATGATAATCAGAGATACAACTTCGTTTTGCAAGTTGCTAAGGCTCTTGCAGATAGTCCTAAAGGTGAGAAACTGAGTCAGTCCAACTTTCAAAAGATTTATCAAATGTTCAATGAAACCGCTTCCCAAGTGAGAGAATACCAGCAAAATATGAGTCATTTGGAAGAAAAGATACTCTTAGCCACTAAGATTTCTGAAAATTTTGAAACTCGGTTGCAAGGCGTCGAGTCAAAAGTGACCCAGACGCTCATACCGTATTATATTTCACTTAAAAAAGGCAATGTGGCTACAAATGAGAGAAATCAGAATCTTCAACTGCAGGTATTAAATTCCAGATTTAAGGCACTGGAAGCAAAATCCATCCACCTTTCAATTAACTTCGCTTTGCTTAACAAAACTCTCTATGAAGTCTTAACGATGTGCCATAATGCTTCTACAAGTATGTCAGAACTGAATGCTACGATACCTAAGTGGATAAAGGGTTCCATGCCAGATATTCAGCTTCTCCAGAAAGATCTGACAGAATTGGTGGAACCGATAATTGAAATGAAAACTCAAGCTGCCCTATCTAATTTAACTTGGTATGTAGATCGATCATTATCTGGAAATCTGGCAAATGTTGTCAAGTCTCAGAAGCAAGTAAAATCATTGCTAAAGAAACCTAATACACCTAAAAAACCAACAGTGAACCTTACCACTGTCCTGATAGGCCGGAATCAAAGAAACACAGACAACATTCTATATCCCGGTAAGCTAATACTGAAAAATAACTTTTAACCTCTCTTTATTTAAATGATATTTAGTAGATCTGTACAGTTTAGCAAGACCGTAAAATACAAAAGGTGCGTATGTGAACTTGGGTAGATAGTCAAGCCATGCAAAAATCACTGACATATTCGAATCTGATTCTAACTTCCGGGAATTTAGGTATCAATCCAAAACAAGTATGTCTAGTATAAATATTTGGCTATATGTTTTTTTACTTTTTCTGACTAGACCTCTATAAAACAATCAAGTTTGCTCCTATAAAACAGTTTTCTTTGCATAAATTATTAAAGGAAACTAGTAGACAATGAGATCTTTGGTCAATAAGATAAGACTTATTATTCATTCTGGCATGCTGACACAAGGTCTGGTATGCAATCAGAGCTCAGTAAGTATCTGTTGAATGACTGTCTGACAATGAATGTCCAAGAATTAGATTTGAGTAGATCTCAGAAGGCCATGAATGCCAAGCTAAGGCACTTAGACACAATTTTATAAAGAATGGGATGTCTGTGAAAATTTGTAGCAGTAGGTTGGTTGTGGTAAGAACTGTGGCTCAGAAGCATGAAGCTAGCAGTAATGTGTAGCATGATTGCAGAGAATGATATTAGGATACCAGTTAGGACATTATTGACTGAATGTTGGCAAGAGCAGTAAGAGTAAGATCTAAAGTAGAGGTAGTTGAAACAGTAGAGAGATATGAGGAATGTATAATCAACAGAAACAGAGGATTAGTGGAAAGAGTAACGATCTGAGAAACATCAAATTTTGATTCCAGTCCTAGTTGTATTACTAAGTTTTTGTCTTAGTAGCTTTAGGTGAAAGTTCACCTCTTTGGGTCTCAGTTTCTTTCTTTTAAATGGTGAGATTGCAGTAGGTGATTTGCTGAAGTCATTAGTATAAATATGTTAAAGACTGTATCATCGTGAAAAAACATGAGCTGTTCACAGCCTGAATGTGAATGTTTGGCAGAAGAGACAGAGCTAGAATATTCTGAGGTTTTGAATTTGAGAAATGAGAGGATAATGGTACCATTACCAAATGTAAACACCAAAGGAAGAACATAAATTGGGGGGAAAGAGGAATTCAGTGTAGTACACATAAACTGCATAATAATATCTCTATATGAAGGAAGTGTTTGTGAATATATTGGGCATATGAGTTATATTGAATAATCTTTTCAGAATGAGAATAGCTACTGATTTTTACGAAAACAAATGGCAGTATTTTTCTCATATGAGTCTGCTGTTAAATTATATGCCCATTTGTATAAATTTTGTATTTTATTGGTTTTTAATTGCAAGAGGATGACCATTACTCTAACGTGATCTGATTCCTCATATTTAATCTCTGAATGTTTTAATAATATTAAAAATCACAGAGTATTGTTGAATTCTCTCCACTATTCACAGAGTTGAATTGTTGAGTATGTTTATTTATGACTCCCCCCAAGTTAATCTGACTTAGGAGAACCAATTTTACCTCTGTGGGAACACAGAACAAACCATTTAGACTTACATATTTCCCAGAGAAAGGCAGTATCTCAATATAATAATTTTAGGAAAAATAATGTGTTCTTTTTCCATACTATTTCAATCCTTGATCTTCATGTGGGAACTTACAACATGAGCTTCACTGAAGCTCTACAATATGTGTGATCATACACCAGACAAGCTATGTCCTTTTTCTTCCTAAACCAAAAAATATGTATAGGATCTGCTCAGTAAGTATAAAGTTTAAATAGCCTCAAAATTAATTGAGGTAAAAAAATTTCATAGCACGTAAGAACTTATAAACTTTGATAGCATAAAGAATACATATTAGGACCTTATAAAAATTGTATTTAGATATTTATTATGATTGACTCAATATTGGATTTAATAGGCTAACAATAGGAAGTAATTCAGTTCTGATTCTCTTTTTTCCAATGATTCGTTGATAAAATTGCTTGATGTTTCTTTGTTTACTGTGAGGAGAATTTTTTATGTACTTATCTACCAAAATGTATAATTAATTAAAAGTTCTTTATTATATCTCAGTAAAGATACCAATAACAACGTCAAGGCAACAAAAATATATTGACCTAATTCTACATGCAAGGTAGGTATCATTCTATTCAGGTCCAGCAACATAATGTGTGGGTCCCTTTCAAGTGGGTGACAGGTGTGCATGGCCGTTAACCTGGCCCTGCTTCTGTGGGCCAGAAAACTGGTGGTGAATTAATATCTATCTAATATTATAATAATATAATATTAGAGACTATTTATTAACATTTATTATATCCCAGACAGTGTACAGATTATACAGTATTCACTATTTCATTTACCAATACCTATGAGGTAGGTATTATTATTCCTGTTTTCCAGATGAGTAAAATAACCCTCAGAGACATTAATTAAAGTACCCTGCCTAAGATCATTCAACTAGGAAGTGATAGAGCCTGACTCCTGGTTGACTGGACTTGGGGTTCAGTCCTCCACCACTATCCTCCAAGAGATGGTCGAAAATGTTCTCATGCCTTTGTCTTTCTGTTACTGTTCCATGTGTCATATGTTTCCAGAGTCTGGCTGTATCTGAATGTTCCATATGGCCAGAGTTGATGTTCCTAGGGAGTTTTCTTTCTTGAAGATCCAAATACTGACAAATTGTTTCTATACCACGAGGAATCAAAGGTGCTACTTTTCAGTTTGGCTCTTCTGTGACATGGCCAGTGGGTAGTCATTGAAAGTCACCATCAGTTATTCACAAGGTCTTCCTTTGACTGATGCAGAAGGAGGGCAAAATGTAAAGCATCATCCCTGTCACTTCCTTTCGAGCCATTTAGTTACGCTAATTCTGATTCCTCGTAGGCCATTGCTGATAAGCTATTCTGGTTCAATGGCTAAATATTTGATTTGTTTCTAAACAATATTCTAATAGACACCAAGAGGTTTTTATTTCATCTTTGAAGATTTGTTTGTGCAGCAATTGGCAGACTTCTCCCTGCAGAGAGACGTTGGCTGCTTGCCCTTCCTAGAGCAGCTGAATCCTGCCTCTGCGGAAATGTCGGCATCCCCACTACTGAGCATGCGCGCCGCCTGCTTGGGAGCCCCTTGACTTTTTATTTCAACCGTTTCCCTAATCTTTGCCAATTTAGCTCTCCTTAATAAACCTCTTTCATTCATAATTAATTATATACTCCTAAGAATGATTACATTCTATTAAACATTTGGTAGTGTACCAAATACTTTTAAAAATTATCATTATTGTGAATATAAGCAACTTAAAGAAGAAAAATAAGGACCTAGCGACTACTTAACTGTTTTATATCACTTTAAAGTCATTTCTAAATTTGGTGACTGTGCATAGAGGCAGTTGTGATGACTAATGAGCACTGAATTTGGAATCATAAACCAATGTATTTATTTATAATAAGTCATGGACCTGAGTTTACGTACTAAAATGTGGTTATTTGGGCAAGGACTTGGAGACCAGATATACCTATAAAATGGTAAGAAAGGCAAAGAAAGGAACCTAGAACAGAAGCATCTGAAGCAGGAGCAGACACGTGGCTGAGGCATCTTGGACAACCAGCAGGCACTATGAGATATCCTAGAAGGCAAGCTGTGTGTAGTCTCAAGAAGCCGGGGCTACTGTAACAATAGGAGCAGGCACAGACTCTCGATTAGACTACAGTGGAGCCCCCCTCCAGATGCATGACCTTACAAAGATACTGGAATAAAGGGCAGAATAGCACTCTTTGAAATGACTCAAAGAACAAGAGCAAGGCAAGGAGAAAAATGTAATTCTCATCCTGAACATAAAATAGAAGGCAAAGCCTTGGTCCTGAAGAATCAGAGTAGAGTCAATAGCAATGCAGAGAAAATCCATTTTTTCTGCAACTTCTTAAATTCTCCTCTCTAGCACAGGATTGATCTTTGATTTATAGACAGGGCTGAGTCTATAGGTGAGTGTGACTTTTTTCCCATTTGGGAGAATTAGAATTATAGAGCTGATCTGGTTACATAAATAATTCAGTGCTCCCCAACTCCACTGCACAATTGATTCGTTCTTAGAGAAACACATTAATTCAACAATCTCCTGTGAGTTGATCACTATGTTAGATTCAGAGAATGTAAAAATAAATGAAGCCAATGTTTTGATATAAAGAACTCACATTTGTACAGGTAATGGAGAAACATTAATGTTTCTAAAGCTGAGAAGTAATGAGTTAAGTTCTAGAGTGATAGCTAACAGCAAAAGAAAGGGTTTGATCACCTATTCACATAGTGGAGAAATGACATTAAACAATTGTGGGCCAGTTTGAAGTATTTGTTAAAAGATATGAGATACATGAAATACTTTAATACTTTTCTCAACGAGGAAAGTAATTTCTAGAATATCACATAACATATATCAAAATAATTCAAATAAGTTTCTAATTACATAATTAATATATGAATATATTTTCTTTGCAAAAAATTCTAATAATAGAAGCATACAATTTGGTCAAATTGTATGAGAATTTCAATTACACAGATATGAAACATAATGTACATAAAATATGTGTAGATCTTACTTCGTGAGAAAAATATTAAACAAAGCAAATCAGTTCCAATTTAAAAATCGTCACAATCACACAATTTCAAATGAGTGAATTGTAAACTATTTACACTATTGCCACAAGGTGGCACCACAGAGGTTACTGTGGGAAGTAGTAGTGTAAGGGCTATATTCTTCCTCTCTTTTTTCTACATTTACATAATTATGTATATAACCATATTCATACTTTGAAATTTTCCAAATAAATGAAATTATTCTACATGTAATGTCCAAACTGTAACTTACTGTCTTCAGTAAAGCAAATATGTTGGGATCTACCTCATTCTTTAACTGCTGCCTAATATTCCTCAGTGGGAATATATTGTCATTTATTCAACAAGTCTTGTATCAGTGGCCATTTGAGTCTTTTAATTTTTCACTAATGCAAATAATTTCATCCTTGAAGAATTATCTTTGTGTACATGGACAAGTATGCCTGAGTGTATATATGCAGCCAGGAGAAATGTCTGGCTCCAAGTAAATGAACCTTTTTAATGCTGATAACTATGGTCCTATTAAAAGGTCTAATGACAATTTAAGCTTCAGCCAACATCATATGAAAAGGCCCATTTTCCCTCATGTTGCCACGACTGTTTTCTGTCTTTTTAAATGTTGCCACCTGATAACGAAAATATTATTGTTAAATTTATTATTTCTTAATTAGTAGTGAAGTTGCATATGTTATAAAACTTTCAGTGAGCGTTTGTGATTTTTGTTCAGTGATTTGCCTGCTCATGTAATTTGCCCATTTTTCACTTTTTTAGGAGAGGGTGTTTTTTTTTCCTTTGGTCTTATCAGAGCTTTTCATATGTTATAGATATTACTCATTATATTGTTATGTCTGTTAAAAAATATTTTCTCTTAATTTGCCACTTATCATTGAACTTTAACAATGGTGGCTTTCGTTGCAAATACATTTTAATTCTTACGTGATCAAAAGTGAGAATTTTTTTTCTCTTATGGCTTGTTTTTGTTTTGTTTTGCTTTTAAAGAGCTTTTCAAAATGTTAAAGCTCTGCAGAGATATTCTTCTTTATTTGATTGTAATACAATCATATGGTTTTTTGATCACATGTAGTATTTTTGTACACATGGAATTTGTGTTTTTATAGACATCCAATTGTCTTAGCCCCATGTGTTGAATAGACGTTTTTCTTCTCCAATAATTTGAAACATTACCTGTATCATGTACCTGTTCCGAATATATATATAGTCCTGTGTCTAGATAATTCTATTCTGTTCAACATTTGATCAAAATCTTAACATTTCACGCAAATAAGTGCAATGAATTACAGAATTCTCCCACTTCACAGAAGAGGAAAGGGAGATCAGAGCTGAGGGATTTTACATGAAGTCCACGTTGATGACCACGTTGACGCCTGGGTTTAGGAACCCATTTTCCTTATCTCAAATTCAGTGCTTTTCCTATTCTGCTACAAACTATGATTCGAGATCAACAGGAAAATAGGTCACTTTATTCTCCTTTATCTTGATTCTTTTTCAGTAACAGAGGAGTATTCAGGCTGCAGTGGGTTCCCGTGCCAGAACGGGGGCACGTGTATAAACGGAAGAGCTAGCTTTACCTGTGCCTGCCGACACCCTTTCACCGGTGACAACTGCACTGTCAAGCTGGTGGAAGAAAATGCTTTAGCTCCAGGTAAAAAAGTATTTGCATCCTTGGGTTTGCTCAAGGTCATAAACAGAAACATGTTTGAAACTATTTACGAGTGAATATTTCAACCTGCTTAACCTGGATCCATGTGAGAATTAATTCCTTTACTTATGAAACTTACTGAATAACGTACCCAATTTACAAGTGGAAATGTCTTTTTGTCAGACAGATTCTTATTTACATGCACTTATTGAAATTTTCAATATTGGTATACTAGGGGCAGTTCATGGAAAATTCTAACCCCCATACTTTTTTCCTCTGGCTCATCCTTGAAAGAAAATACAGGTGTATATTAATATATCCGACTGGTATAAATTCTTTCTCCTGAAACAAGTTGTTACATAAATACACCTTTGATTCACGTCAGGTATGGTCATTTAGATAAGGCTTTAATCCGTGCTTAGCAACGCGTTTTCTGTGAAGGTTAAGCTAATAGTGCTATTTTGTCCGTGTGAGGACTGTTAGAACGTGCTCAAATGTGTTAAGTAAAACAAGATGCCTTTTTGGTCCATTTAAATTCATAAGCATTGGTTGCTTGAGATTTACTTCGAGAGTGCACCATTTCTGCTTTTCATACAGGAAAACGTGCAGCATTTAAAATACGTTCTCTTTAATGACAGCAAAATTTATGTTTCAAATCAGGCTTTTCTTAATAATATCCTGTATAATGAAGAGTAAATTTTTTAGTCTATTTTTAAATCTCAGCCTTTGTGAGTACACTTGGCATTAATTACAGAGAAAATTGCTTTTGTCTACTTTTCTACAGTGAATATGGCTTTATTTGGTTTTCGTTTTAGCCTCTAGAAACTGCTTGACAAGGTGTTGGAAAAATTGTTTCTACATCATGTCAGCTTCAATTCCTGCAAGGGGCTTTAAAACATTCTGGCATACCATAATAATCATGGAGTGCTTTGAATGCCATTATCTCTTGGGAGATCAAAGCAACATGCAAATTAATCTTTGAGGCATTTCTATAAGGGAGGTATCAAATGTTATTTTCATTTTCATTCTATCCTGATCTAAATGGAGAAACTGAGGCTCCAAGATATAAGTGATTTAGGGTAATTCCTCCAAGAAAAGAGGCAGGCAACCACTCGCATATACCCTTGTTAAATTTGATAGATGACCTTTTTCCTTCTGCTAAGCCTTTTCGTAACTGAGAAAAAATGATAAAGATATAAAGAAAGACAAAATAAGATAAACACATCAAAATTAACTCTTGCCATTTTTTTTCCTCTAACAGATTTTTCCAAAGGATCTTACAGATATGCACCGATGGTGGCATTTTTTGCATCTCATACATACGGAATGACTACACCTGGCCCCATCCTGTTTAACAATTTGGATGTCAATTATGGAGCTTCCTATACCCCAAGAACTGGAAAATTCAGAGTTCCATATCTGGGAGTGTATGTTTTCAAGTATACCATTGAGTCTTTTAGTGCTCATATCTCTGGATTTTTAGTGGTTGATGGAAAAGACAAGCTTGCATTTGAGTCCGAGAATATTAACAGTGAAACACCCTGTGATAGGGTTTTGACGGGGGATGCCTTATTAGAATTAAATTATGGGCAGGAAGTCTGGTTGCGACTTGTAAAAGGAACAATTCCTGCCAAGTTTCCCCCTGTCACTACATTTAGTGGTTACTTATTGTATCGTACGTAAGTTAGTATGAAAGACAGACTATCACCTTCATGGAGAAACAGCCAGTGTTTTTATTTATCTTTGCATTCACATCTGCTGTGTTTTGGGTTTTCTACATAAAATGAAAACCAAACTAACTCCTTTTTTAATCTGAGTAAAGTTGTATGTTTATTTCATAAAATCATTTGGATATCTTTTCAATAGCCTGTATATGAAGGAATTCTTTTTGCTCCTAAAGAAATGTAGTGGCACAGAAAAAAAAAGTGAATTTGTTAGCATAACTATTCCTATTTTTGTTCCTTCATTTTAAGTCATTTCAATGTAAAGTAATATTATAAAATGGCAATCACACAGTATTATTACAGTATTCTTTTCAATAAAACACAACTTCTGTTATTCCCTCTGTATATAAATATATAACATACATTTCCTAGATTCACAAATTCAAATAAATTACTCAAAGACTGAAAAGTACTTTTTTAAACTTTTGTTTTTCCTCTTTACTGTTGAGTTGTTCAACTTTGCATACTAAAATTTTCATTTGGAATCAAAGTTAAGAAAGTTGAATTAAAAACTTGAAATATGCTTAACTATTGTTCTTTTCCTGTAATTAGAGGATGAAGTAGAAATCAACACATATTTGGACATTTATACCCAAGTCTAAGGATATGTAAGTGGATCCATCATACAACATCTACGGGGAAAAATAAAACCTTTTTCTAATAAATATCCTTCAAAGGCGATACATGCAGATCTGCCCCTATTCTTATAAGGGGTAAGTAGTAATCTGTGTAATATTACAATTTTAGGGGTGCTCACTATGTCCAGGTTCTCTTCTAAATAATTTACGTGTGATGTCTCATTCCTAACAATAACTCTTACAAGGTGGGTATTATTACCGTTGTTTTTATACTTGAAGAAACTAAGACATAGTGAGGTTAAGGAATGGACCAAGGCCCACATCAGATGAGGACTGAGGCGGTATTGGAATCAGGCCGTTATCTTCCCCAGAGCCCAAGTCCATCTTTTGCTATATTGCCTCCCACAGATATACCAACATTTATTTAACTAATCCCTTATCAGTGGACATTGAAGTTATCTCCAAATCTCTATTATAACAATATTGTTGTAGTGAACATTCTTAAAAATACAATTCTTACATATTTGACAAATTATTTCTGAAAAATAGATTCCCATAAGTAGTAATAAAAATGATAACAAAACATTTTGGTATGGTGAACATTTTTTGTGAATTAATTTGTTTAATGCTCACTGTAGCCTGACAAATTATGTATTAAACTATGAAATATGTATTACCTGTTATCATTCTCTTTTTGCTCATTAGAAAGAGGCACATAGAAGTTAAGTAATTTTTCCAATATTATAGCAAATCCTGGAGAATTTCTGAAACAAAGGAAAAACATACTTTTCAATTTTTATAGGTACTATCCAATTGCTTTTAAAAATATTTGTACCAACCTGTAGTTCCATCAATATGAATAAGAGTGCTCTTCATCCTCCAAAATCCTCTTCAAAATTCACAATTTTTTAAAATATTGCCAATCTTAAAAGTGAAAGTACTATTTATATAATAGAGGAAACTTGAAAATTTTTCAAATTTGCCAAAACTTGAAAACATATGTCCATACAAAGACTTGTATATAAATGTTCATAGTTGCTTTATTTGTAATAGCTAAAAACTGGGAATCACCCACATGTCCAGCAACAGACAAATTGGTTAAGCAAACTTTGATATATCCATACAATGGAGTACTACCAAGCAATAAAGAAGAATCAACACACTGCAACACGCTAGAATCTCACCATAATTATGCAGAAGAAGATTTCAAACTGCATCCTGACAAACCTTGGTCAATCCTGCAAAGAACTCTAAAGTGAGTATTGTCCATTAGAATATCCCAAGGGGAGTCATAAGTAACTGGCCGTCATACCCCAGTTTCACTCAGTGCTACATTCAGGCTGCCAGAAAAGAGTGCGACCTACAAGCTGAAAACTGGAGGCTGATTACTGACAATTTTGATCTTGTTATGTACAAATGTGTCATTTTCAAAAACATTTTGAAAAGTTTTGATAATTTCTTCAGTCCCTGCCTAAAAATTCACTCTACTCTAGAATGTTTTTGATTTTATTTCTTCAAGTAATATAGATTAAAATATAGTTTTTGCTTTCCAAATATGCTTTTCAACATGGATTTTGGTGATTTCAATGTATCACTTTTCTTTCATATTACCGGAACAGAAGGAAGTAAATCCTTTGACAATATTCATCATTGTAATGCCCAATTTAACTTATTTATTTTGTAATTAGTTAATTTAGAACATTTAGCATAAAACGATACTTTGGTATTTGGGAATTTAATTATTAATACTATTTCTTATTTTTTGTACATATTTATAGAATATACAATCAAATACCAAACTGTCACCAACAGCCTAGAGGCATTACAGCAACTTTTAAGTTGCTATGAACTTGTTTGGCTATGTTTTCAAAAGCCCCTCAATATAATGTAAGAAAATTCAGTAATGGATTTCTAATTGTCATGGTCAAACTTACCCATGTAGAAAAAATACAGCACTGGAATTTTCCTTGATTTCTTCTATGAAGATAGCTGACTTTCCTGGATATTATTTTATAGATTTAATTTCAAAGCCTTATCTCTCACCATACCTACCTGCCCAGCCAGCTCCCAAAGTACACCAAGTCCTAATTAATGATGACAATCTCAAATCTATTCATTATTGATTGCTAAATAATTATTAAATAAATATATAAATATGTAATTTATAACAAGCATGATAAATTACATATAACAAATAATTTAAACATAAATATCAATTAAATCAGTACAGAAAAGTGCTGCATTTGAAATATGTTACCCAGGGTCATGTAGACATTTACTACTACTAGAATCATGGGTAGCTTCATAAGAATGGGAAATTTATCATTAATAATCACCCTCCTCTTTTTATTGCACTCTTGACCAATCTCCCATTATCTCCTTTTGGATCATTCCAGAAATTGAGAGACTTCATGTTCAAAATCACTTGTGCCTAAAATTGTTCTTCCTAACTCTCTTTTACCAGTCAAAACTCCCGTTTTGGAAGAATAAGATAATATAAATTAGGCATTAAGAAATGATTAAAATAAGGCATACTGATTTTTTTGTTTGGCTTGTCCATTTAGTCCTCTTAGAGGAGATTTTTTGGTAGTGGTTCATCTAGCTCAAAATTTAAATTTACTAACTCACATTGGAAACCTAGTGAGTCTTTGTCTTCATCAAAGGCAATTTTTAATGTAGCAAAATTTTCCTCATTATTGAAAACTTTGCCTATCAGGACACACGGGACACATTAAGGCAAGAAAATATAGGCCTGCCCTTCCTGGAGCGTACAGTTTAGTTGCTCTCCTGTGCGGAAGGCAGAGATGTTTGCTGCCCCAGCGGTTTCAAATCCAGAGTTTCATCAATAAACTTGGGAGTGTTAAGTAGCACCTTCCCTTGAGTGCTTTTAACCACAGCTCAGTGAGAATTCTCAATGAGCTATACCGCATTTGTGTTTAGAGAAAACAACAATAAAGTAGTATTCATTTCTCTGGGATGACATCCTAATTAAACAATCTAAAACGCTGGGAAAAGTCCAAATTTTGGAGGTTTTATTATTTATTCATGGTTTGCTTCATGTACTATCAAACCCTGGGCTTTAGTCCAAACATTTTGCAGATACCATGTATCTAAGTCAGCTTGGGCTGCCATAAAAAAGTACCATAGACTGAGTGGCTTAAACAACAGACATTTATTTCTCACGGTTCCGGAGGCTGGGAAGTCCAAGATTGAGGTCCCGGCAGATTTGCTTTCTCTGGTGAGGTCCCTCTTCCTGGCTTGCAAAAGGCAAAAGGCTGCCTTCTCACTGAGGCTTCACATGGCCTAGGGAGGAAGAGAGAGAGAGAGCAGAGAGCATGTGAGTGCTCTGGTCTCTTTCTCTTCTTATAAAGACACTAAGCCCATCATGTGGGCTCCACTCTCATGACCTCATCTAAACCCAATTGACTTCAAAAGGCCTCACCTCCAAATACCATCACATTGGGAGTTAGAGCTTCCACATATACATTTGAGGGGGGAGGGGGCACAAACATGCAGTCCATTGTACCAAGTATTGAATGTAGTAATATCTAGAGTCGTGTTGTAAAACATTATTTTCATAACTTTTATAATATTAGTCTATACTAGATCCTGGTTGTAATGTGATTTCCTATTAGATTCAAATAAATATTTATATCAAGCCCACTAAAGGTAGTGAAAATGCTACATGACATAATCTTGGAGATGGTGTTTTTTAGTGTATTATTTAGATTCAAATACTTACTTATTTAGATTTCCTATTTTTTTGAATTCAAATCAATAATTATATCAAGTCTACTCAAGTTAACAGCAAAAATATGACACAATACCACCTGAGGAATGAATGTTTTTTAAATACTATTCTACTCTCCTTACTTCAAACACTAATGAAGAAATCGATGTACTGAATTATCCTTACCAGGACACAGACTATTATAGAGAGTTCCCTATTTTTTTTTTGTAATTTACCTCCCCTCATTTATGTTTGCTGTCATTATCATCACCACCAAAACATTTAATTGTGCATAATTTGTATAAAGAGGACCACAAGCGTATTTCTTATCTATGTGAAATCTATGGATTAAGGATGACAGCAATTTGCTAGAAAAATATATGTAGGAAAAATACATTTATTTGTACTACCTAGCTTTTTCTAAAAACGATTTAAGGTGGCCAGATGTATAATTTGTAATAAGAAAACATTTAAACTTAGACAAATACATTAAGTTTCCATTTATACATCAAATATGTGTTAGGAACATGTGTTTTCCTTATCCTTATTTCTTAGTTATATTCACATGCACTAATTTTCATGATTTTTCAGAGTAATCTTGCTATTAACAAAGAGCAACCTACAAAGATGCCTTCCACAGCCTCAATCCCTCTTTCAACTCCCTACTATACCCTTTTCCCCATCTCAC